TGGGGGGCGGGGCGGGCAGGGCTCCGCCCACCCAGGACCAGGTGCGGGTCCGCGAGGGTCCGTCCTGCCCTGGTCCCTGCCCTGGTCCCTGCCCCGCGGCCTCCTGAGCTGCAATAGAAAAAAATTGTTTTGAGACGAGGTCGCTGTATGTAACCCAGGCTGCTCTTGAACTCTCAGCACTCCTTGTGTTTCAGCCTCCTGAGTGCCGGGATGGCTGCCCCAGCACTGTCTTGGACCCCAAGTTCCCCACCATCACAAGGAGTGCTGTTGCTCTCCTTCCGGGGACTTGCGAATCCAAGTCCCAGGAGGTTGTTTTAGCCCCGGGGCCCCTGTGACAGCCCCTGGACACTGGGCAGCTTCCTGTCTTTCTGGGCCCCTGCTGCCCAGCGTCCTGCCTTCCTCCTGCCTGTGAACGCCCAAGCCCCAGCTCCCTCCTGCCTGAGATCTCGCTTCTCAATGCTGTGAGGCACCGGCTGTTCAGATGGCGATGCCCCTCCTGCCCCGGTCCCCGTCCCAGTGTCCTCCCCGCCACCCCGTGCAGCTGGGGGACTCAGTGCAGTGGGCTGGGTGCCCATTGCTGCGGTGTGACCAGGGACCCATGCTTCCTGTGGTCTGTGCGGCAGAGGGAGGAGGAGCCAGGCTGTGCCGGGCGTCCTGGGCTCACCAGTGGTAACAGCAAGCTGTGGCCTTGAGCAGCGGTCCCACCCAGGGAGCACTGGCCACACAGCCCCCGAGGAAGCCACTTGGATGATTAAAACACAGCTGAGAGAAAACAGCAGAGCCCAGAGCCCCTGTGTCTCAAGCCCCCAACATCCCCAGGGCAGAGTGGGAAGGTGGGGAGCACACCTGGGCTGCTGCCTTCTTGCCCTTTCAGCAAAGTCCCTCAGGAAGGAAGGGAAGATGGAATGGGGAGAGAGGGGAAGAAGGAGGAGAGGGGAGGGAGAGGCGGGTGGAGGACAGAGTCCCGGGTCAGGGCCACGTACCCTGCTGAGGAAGGACATCCTTGCCAGGTGTCTGTGCCACCCAGGGTCCACCTGGGCACTGTCCCTGGAAAGGGCAGAGGGCGTGGCCGAGCAGGTGGAGGGGCCGAGGCTGCCACCACGCGCCTCACGCGAGAGGAGGCTGTGGGGAGGCGGAGGGATGGTGCTGCACTGGCTCTCTCTGGGGAGGCAGAAATCCTGCCCCTCCTGGGACCAAGCTCCAGCAGCCCCCAACCGGCTCCTCCTGCATCCCGGCACTGTCCGGGTTCCGGTTCTGGTGGGCCACGGGCTGGCATGTCCCGAGGTTGAGCACCAAGTCCTGGGGACCTGGGCGGATATGGAGCACACTAGCTCCACCTTGCAGCTGCTGGCCCTCGGCCCTCTGCGCAGGGGACCCCAGGGCCTTGGTGGCCCAGGCCTGGGGGCAGGTGGGGCTCCCCCGGGACTCTCCTCAGGGCCTGGCTCCAGGGTGGCTGCCATGACCCCTGAGTCTGTTCCCTGTGTTGCCATGGTGATCTGAGGGGCGATGTCCAGTTCTTCCCAGCCTGGCTGCGGTCAGCCCTCTTGGAGACGGAGAGATGGGGAAGCTGAGGCCCAAGGAGGCCAGGCCCACACAGGAGGGGCAGGAACTCGTGGGGCCTCAGGGGGGCCATGGTGTGTGTGTGGGCTGGGCATACAGGGTGCTCTCTGTGTCCCTCCTTGGCCCATCTCGGACCCCAGGCCTACCGCCGAAAGTCCTTCCTGATGCTGGGCGTCAGGGTGGCCCGGCCGGTCCTCTGCGTGGACCTTCTGCTCCTCCCGGAGCTCGGGCCTCTCGTGGGTGCCCCGGCCCCCGGCCCCATCCCTCGGGCCTGGCCACCCCGGAGACTCCTCACCCGGGAGGCACGGGCAGACGCCAGCCCTGGCAGTTCCTAAACCATCAGCGCCGCCGCGATTAGGCCTTAATCTCCTCTGGGTGGGGCGGGCGCGGCTGCAGGAGCGGGTGGCACTGTTCCCTTGCCTGGCGAGACCTGGACCTGCCTGGGTCGTGCTCCGGCCCCATCCCTCGGGCCTGGCCACCCCGGAGACTCCTCACCCGGGAGGCACGGGCAGACGCCAGCCCTGGCAGTTCCTAAACCATCAGCGCCGCCGCGATTAGGCCTTAATCTCCTCTGGGTGGGGCGGGCGCGGCTGCAGGAGCGGGTGGCACTGTTCCCTTGCCTGGCGAGACCTGGACCTGCCTGGGTCGTGCTCTGGGGCCCGGGTGTGGTCAGTGAGGGTGCAGCCACCGCTCCTCACCTCGCTGCTGCCTCCATTCTGTCAGTGGCTGGCGCACTTTCCTCCCGAGGCCCTAGAAGTCCTGAGGACAGGACTTATCCTGCCTCCTGTGTGTGGGTATCGGGGATGGAACCCACTTCGTGCTCTGCTATGTCCTGAGCCCTTTTATTTTTATTTATTGATTTAGATTTTTTTGAAGTCAGCCTCTGTCTACATGGTTCAGGTAGACCTGGAACGCACTGTGTAGCCCAGGCTGGCCTTGAATTTGCAGTGATCCTCCTGCCTCAGCCTCCTGAGTGCTGGGATTATGAGTCTGATGCTGGCAAAATAAAAGGGAGGTGGAGGGAAGGGGAGGAGAAAAAAGCACTGAGATGTGTTGTGCACTTGTGCTGATTCCCTACAGCGAATGTAATCATTGTGTCCTGCAAACCTGCGCTAATAGAAGTAAAAAAAAAAGGATTTATTTTGTGGTGACTGAACCCAGGGCCTTTACACGGAGCTACATCCCTAGCCCTTGATCTCTTTTATTTTGACCCAGGCTCTTGCTAAATTGCCCAGGCTGGGTATGAATTTGCCCTCTTCCTGCCTCAGCTTCCCAGGGTTCTGGGATCACAGGCAGCCACCCCTATGCCTGGCTTCATCCTGTTTTATAAATGGGGAGACTGAGGCTGTTGCCCTGACTTCCTGGCTCCTGGGGGTCCTTGGCTATTATGCATGACTTAGAGAGCTGGGGGCTCCTGGGGTGCAGCGGGGCTCTGTCTGGGCCAGTCGTGGAGCGAGGGTGCCGGCAGCAGCCTCCCTGCCTCCACTGGCCGGAATGTGGGCGAGGGCCAGCTTGGCCCGGGCTGGGGCCTGTGCAGCCTAATTGCAGCTGAGGATGAGGATCACCCTGGGGCTCAGCACCCCCTTTGTTCTGAACAAACAATGGACCACTGAGCCCAGGAGGGGCCAGTGCCCTCTCCCTGGCCAGCCTGAGCCCCCGGCCCTCTGGCACTCTTGGGGACCACCCTTCCCCTCTTCGCGACCCTCCCTCCCTTGCCGCGGACCCAGCCCTACACCAGCCTGGAAAGGGTGGGTGGAGGACCTGGGGGTGTGGAGGCTGCAGGGAGATGGAGGAGGCAGGTGAGGTGACGTGCAGGTCCCCAACCCTCCCGGATGGGAGGTCCCTGCCTTCTAACCCTGGCCCTGGGTCTGTTGGTCACTGATTTCTCTCCCCACGCCCACTCCGAGGTCAGAGCCGGTTCCTGCTGGAAGCCTAAGTTAGTATGAGGGTGGAGAGCCAGGGCCCTCTCAGGTGCCATTGGTCTTCAGCACGGCCAGCCGCTGCGGGAGTCCCCGAGCTGGCCCGGAGGCAAGGACTGCTGAGGAGGGCGTGGAGTGGAGGCTGCCGGCAGGGGCTTTGCCGGTTCCTGCCTGGGGTCACTGCCAGGCAGGGAATTCCTGCTGCTTCCCTGGCACCCGTGCCAGATCAGATACAGCACCTGGCCGGGCTGGGGAGCCCAGGGAGCCCTGCGGAATCAGCGCTCTGACCTCTGGGGTCAGCCAGCAACGGCCCCCATGTGTGAGTCCAGCTGGCAGCTCCTGCAGGCTGCGGGAGGCCCGGGGAGGGTGGCGAGGTGGCCCTGGTCCAGCCCAGGCCAGGCGGCTGCATGGAGCTCAGGGCCTGGAGGGGCCTCGCGGGGTAGGGTGGCCCCGGGGCACCGGTCGCTCATGCTGCAGCCCTGGCCCTGAGTGCCCCGTTCAATGTGATAATAACCAGCCTGTCTCCTTCCAGACCCCTTCCGCCTTGTGGGAGTACAAACTTTTGCCCCAGGTTTGAGGCAGGGTCAGGCATAACCTCACCAATCAATCAGCCAATCAATTAATCCCTTAATTAGACGAACGTGGCTGGGGCCCAACAGCCTGGCTCGGTGCCTGGGCATGGGGGTTCCGAGGGGAACAGACGGATGTGGCCGTCTTGTCTCCCGGGGGCTCAGTGTCCAGTGCAAGAGGTGGGCTGGGAGAGGGGATCTGGCTGGACGCCGGGAGGCGTGGGCTGAGGCGGTGGACTGGCTCTGCCCTGGCCCCGCTGCCCCTCTCAGAGCCTCTCCTCCTCCAGATCCTGGCGGCCACCACCGACAACGCCGGCTTTGTGCTGCAGATTGACAATGCCCGCCTGGCGGCCGACGACTTCCGCACCAAGTGGGTCTGCGCCCCGGCTGCTGGCAGGGGGTGGGCGGCAGTGGGGTCTGCGGCTCCCACGCTCACCGCGCTCCCCCCAGGTACCAGACGGAGCTGAACCTGCGCGTGAGCGTGGAGACCGACATCAACGGGCTGCGCAGGGTGCTGGACGAGCTGACCCTGGCCAGGGCCGACCTGGAGATGCAGATCGAGGGCCTGAACGAGGAGCTGGCCTACCTGAAGAAGAACCACGAGGAGGTGGGGAGCTGCTGGCTGACCCCGGCCCTGACCCTGGCGAGTGGCCTCCAAAGCCGCTTCCTCCGCTCCCCAGGCGCGGTTAGCTTGCTAATGAGTGAATCAGGGACCGTGTGATGCTAATTATTATAATTAACGAGGACAGCGATCACCGCCCACTGCGGACACGCAGGGCAGTTACTCCAGCAGCGCTGGAAGGAGAGACGCTCTGCCCCCTTTCAGACCCAAAGAAATGGGCGCAGAGAGGCTGGGGTCCTCCCGGGATGCACAGGACCCGCCCTCAGGTCTTTGGGCCTTGTCGCCTCTCCGTACTCCCGTTCCAGCCAGCTGTGGTTTGGGGACCCACAGCTCAGCCGGGTGGGAGCCGGGGTCCCGGCCGGGGCCCCAGACCCTGTCCGTCCCCTGTCACTCAGCGCTGTGCTCAGCGCCGACTCCCACGCAGCAGGACGCCCAGCTCAGTCTCCGGCCCGGGCCAATAACGAGGTCTGGCCAACACCCACACGGGGTCCGGTTGGGGACAGGGGTCCCTCATCCTCCCGGCACCGGGCACACGGGGGTCGGGGACCCGCCAGGTCACCCTGTGTGTCCGCGAGGCTGGGGCTGCGGGCGGCAGTCATGTGCCGTCTCTGTCTGCCCTGCCCCTGCTGTCTGAGGTCCCAGGCCCTCTCCAGCTGGCCCTGGGTGAGCACCTCTGTCCTCTTGGTCCAGGAGATGCTCGCCCTGCGCAGCCGGACTGGCGGGGACGTCAACGTGGAGATGGACGCGGCCTCCGGCGTGGACCTGAGCCGCATCCTGAACGAGATGCGTGACCAGTACGAGCAGATGGCGGAGAAGAACCGCAGGGAGGCTGAGGCCTGGTTCCTGAGCAAGGTGGGGCCAGAGGTCCCGGGCTGTCCAGCAGTTCCGGTCAAACGCAAGGCCCAGAGGGCCTGAGAACAAAGGGCCTGTGGCCCTGAGCCCCCGGCGGTGTCGGGCTCTGCGTGTGCTCCCGCCCGGCAGCCCCACCTCCTGTCCCCGCGGGAGCCCAGTGAGCGCCCGCCCACCCTGTCCCGCAGATGGAGGAGCTGAACTGCGAGGTGGCCACCAACACCGAGGCCCTGCAGAGCAGCAGGACAGAGATCACCGAGCTGCACCGCTCTGTGCAGAACCTGGAGATCGAGCTGCAGTCCCAGCTCAGCATGGTGGGCCCCTGTCCAGCCCATGCCTGTCACCTGGCCCAGGGACAGATCGCGGCAGAGCCGGCTACCCCAGTTCCGGCCGGCACCCACCCCTGCCTGGGGAGCCCAGGGAGGGTCCCGGCTGGGTCTCATGGCGCCTTCTGTGCCCGGCCACAGAAAGCATCACTGGAGAACAGCCTGGCGGAGACGGAGGCGCGCTATGGGGCCCAGCTGGCCCAGCTGCAGGGGCTCATCAGCAGCATTGAGGCCCACCTGGGCCAGCTGCGCTGTGACCTGGAGCGGCAGAACCAGGAGTACCAGGTGCTGCTGGACATGCAGACTCGGCTGGAGCAGGAGATCGCCACCTACCGCCGCCTGCTGGAGGGCGAGGACGCCCAGTGAGCGGGGCCTGGGGGCCGCTGGGGTGGACAGAGAATGGAGCTCCACACCATCTGGACCAGGTTGTGCAGGCAACGGGGAGCCATGGAGGGATTCAGGGCAAAGTAGGAGCATTATCATTGGAGGAAGAAGTGAATCAGAGGGTCGGGTGGCTGGAGAGACCGGGTGGGGAGCACGGGGGCGACGGCAGGCGTCCTCTGTGCGGATGGGGCAGGGGTGGGGAGTGCAGAGGTCAAAACAGTGAGGCTCAGAGGCAGCGGCACTGTGGGTGTGGGTGGCGATGACCCTGGTTTCTGCTTGGGATGACGCCGCCATGACCCTGGGAGCAGGACTGGCTGGAGAGGGGCTGATTCACACCCTCGCCTTCCATCTCTCTTTGGGATGTGGAAAAGCCACTTCCTCGGCCTCCTTGTAAAGCGCGATTGGCAGCCCCAGTAGCTCAAGCACCTGCCTGCGGCTGTCTCTCCTCCCTCTGCCGCACCCATGCCCCCGGCTGCTCTCGTGTCCTGGGCCCAGCGGCTGCCCCTCCAGCAGCCTGGGCTGGCTGATGGAGCCCTCTGCCCGCAGCCTGGCCTCTCCGTACTCCTCGTCCCTGGCTTTGCAGTCTGGCCGGAAAGGTGAGTCTGGGCCACCCTGCGCCGCGTGGGGGCCTCGGATGGGGCAGCAGAGGGCTGGGCCTGACACGCTGTGCCCACCCTCCACGGGCAGCCATGGTGACCAGCCACCAGGTGCGTACCGTCGTGGAGGAGGACCAGGACAGTAAGGTAGTGTCCACCCGTGAGCAGGTCCACCAGTCCACCCACTGAGGCCTGCGCATGGCCCATCGCAGAGGTCCGGGCAGCCACGGCCCCCGGCGACAGCCAGCGCCCACCACCAAGTCCTGGGTGCCCGCCCGGTCCGCCCAGAGCTGTTGCTTTCTCTTCCCGCTTCCTGCGGCCCCTCAGCGAGGGCCTCCTGTGTCCCCTGCCCCTTAGTGCTATTAAAGCTTTGCCAAGTTGCCTCCCGAGGCTGTGCCGGTCTGGTCATTGGTGGGGACGGAGCGGGCTGGGGCATGGGGAGAGGCTGCCACGGGTTTGGTGTGGACTGGCGCCTGCCCACTCCACCTGGGCTCCGGGAAGCAGATGGAGGTTTCTAAGAATCAGGCGCTGGGTCCGGTTTGCTGTGCCTGGGCCTTGCGAGGCCCCACGGCCGCTCCTGGACCACGCCTGTCATAGAGGCTACTGCCAGAACACAGGGCGGGTCGGGGGGAACAAGGGACAGGGCTGGGCAGGGGCCTTTCCCAGGGAGGGGTCGGGACCCGGTGGAGACAGGTGGGTGGCAGCGGCGCAGCCCCGGAAACCAGACCGGCTCT